CTGCCTGATATTTAGTTGGTAATACATATAAATTCCTACCAGTAAGAGAAAATGAATAAAGCACTCACACCATGAAAAAGGAAAAAAAAAAAAAAATTCAAAATAAAATGAGAATACCAAGTCAGTAAGTAAGATTACAGAGCTAAGTATCAAGTGAATGACTCATGGAAAAGTTTCTTCAGTTTTTATTCTTAGGTTGTAACTCACAGGTACTTTTTTTTTTTTTTTAACTGAACCTGATTTAACAGATATTTCCAAGGCCACACCAATTAGCCACATCAATTGGTCAACTAAATCTGTATCTGTTCAGCTAAACAAATCTCACAGGAAGTTCTGCACAGTCAGTAGCCACTCTGCATTCAAAATTCAGTCATCTTTCAACCCTTCACTATCAATCACCTCAGTGATTTATTTAATTACTCTGCAGTCCTTACCAAAGGCTTTTATCCTAAGAAGAGCTTTTATCCTACACTTAGCCCTGAAAACAAAGAAAGAAAACAACTCAATACAACAGTCAAAGGTTTAACAAACTGTTAGTTTGAAAAATATTTGGGACAAACTAATAAACAGCAAGCAGTTTTTTCCCCCAGCCTTTTTAAGTATGAAAGAACTTTCTCCCAACCATTATTAAAATGTACTATGAAGTTCTAGCAGTTTTAAGTTAAATTGTGTCTTCAAACCTAGAGGAAGCAAAAGCATCTTGGTAAGACATACTCTCTGTAATCAGGTAAGGGTGACGGTACAAACTCTATCCATACAACTTGAAAACACCTGCAAATATTTTAAAAGAAATGGTATCAGAGACAAGACTCAAGTCATTTCTTTAGGTGGAACTATCTAAATAGGAAATTCTGTCGCACAACATAATCAAAATGCTAAAAGTTGCTCATCTTTAGGTATTGAAGATGACTTCATGAAAATATTAGCAATTTCTATAGATTTTTAGATCACAAACTGAAGAATAGCTAATGAAATGTATTACAAACCTAAGTATTGTATTAATATTAAACAAATATATTTATTTTGAGATATTTATGACTAACTGCCACTGCATTGGTTCTATCACAGTTTTAGGAATCATGATCTTGTATTGGGGGCTTTAAAAATGGAACTAAATATAAAACCTTGAGAACATTAGTGACAGAAGAGCAATGAGAAGCATCATTTCAGGGGCTCCTGCAGATTCTTCTAGATTTAATCACATCCAAATTCAATCCACATGAGAACTTTTAGGGCACTAAAAAGTGCCTTAGAGCTGGCTATAAGAACCCTGGTTATAAGCAATACAAGGATAAAAGGACATTATCACACCAGAATTACCGTAATAAAAATATTAGAAATAATATCAAAGCCCGACTAAGTCAATACCCACAGGATTTTATTGTCTTCAACTCTGATGACTACATAACAAAATATGTTTAACAAAATGTTTGTCTGAAAATTGTGAAAAGTTTATATTCCTATATGATATAGAAATTATCATTTTAAAGAGTGAATAGCAACATTTAGTTTATACCCATCATCTGACTTTAAGAAAAATATTCTGCAAATAATAATTACAGCTTCAAGAGATTAAAAAAAAATATTAAAAACAAGCAAACAAAAAAGAAAGAATCCTAAACAGTGAACTTGGAACACCAACTAATTCACCACAGCTTTGCAGTGTCAAATAAAAAGTCTATCATAGAAAACTGCATGGGAGTGTAAAACTTCTGTTTCTGGACTTTGATCCAAGAAGTCATAAAAAGTTGCCCTCACTGAATATCTCCTATTTCCAGTATATGCCAAATATTCTCAAGCTTTTGTCTAGTACAAAACAAAGTAATAAAAAGTCAATCATATTACCTCGTCAACACTAAATGACATAAAACACTGCCCACAGTCACAGAGCTGGTAAGTAACTATTGAAAGGTAAATTTTTCTAATATGCTGTCAAGAATAACAACAGCTGTTAAAATGGCATTAGCATCAGAAAGGCTTCATCTGCAGAGGCAGGAGCATTTAAGCCCTTAATGAACAAGGTATCTCAAACCTGTAGGACTGCAAAGTTTTCTACAACAGCAAGGGTGGGAGTTTTCCACAGGTGTTAGTTTCTAGTCGCAAACTAATTTTTATGCCAATAGATTATGTTATGAATTGTTCAACTGACACTTGCAAATTCACTTCAACTGCTAAAAACCATTTATTTGTGTGCTGCATGCTCTGGCTTCTAAGGAGGTGTTTAGCTCTGTATTGAAAGATTATTATAGAAAACAATGTAATATAGCAGCAATAATTGGTTTCCAGGTCAATCAAAATTCACAGGTGTTTAAATGAGAGTTTAGGAGTGCCAGAACCTTCCTTCTATTCAATGACTACTATTGGGTGCAGACCATTCAGTCTGGGAAAAGAACAGAGAAGCATACATAAATGTCAAACAATTAAATCAAATAAGGAGGAAATAGTTCTACCAACAAGCCTGTCTACAGATGCAGATGGCCAATCTAAATAAATCCAAATTTATTTTAAATAAATAAACATGCAAACCGCCCTTACAGAACTATTCTATTTCACAAGTTTCCTAAATTACAACAGTATTCATTTTATACATAGAAAATTTAAGAAAGGGGGGTAGCAAAGTAACACGAGCTTCTGGTTAAACACACACACACACACACACCTCAGCTGTAAAGTTAGTGTCTGCAATAAGATTTTACCACAACCATGTGAATCACATGGTGTTCAGCAGGTTGGCATTTTTATGTCCAACCTCTCATTCTTAAAATTTTAAGTACTCCAGCTAATGCTATCAAATATAAGCCCAAACTGGAATATTGTTTCTAGAAAAAATTATGGCTACACACAAGATTTAGATTATATTCTTCACAGACAACTTTCAGCACTTTATAATTCCTAAAACTGAGGGCCTGCACTATTCTTGAATATCTTCACTTTCGTTTTCCAACTTCTACTCAACAGAGACTCTTCTCTCAAGATTATATATATACACACACACACCACAGAAAGTGTTCAGCCTACTCTCAACATCAACTGTAATATAAAAACTCCAACTGAAGAAAAAGTTTTTAACAGTCTCAGATGATCTAAATTTTACACTAAGTAGTGTAATTTTGAGAATTGAGATTTTAATCCTATGCTACTTCGGAGGAAAAAAATGTGAAAAGAAATGTAACTTAATTCATTTAATTTATTAGGAAAAGATATTACTCTTCAAGTTTTGGCAGATTCTCAAAGTGAAGTATTCTTATGCATGAGTTAAAAGCTACCGCCAAACACCCCCAAGTTTGTGTCTTTAAAGGGAGAGGAAAGAAAACAAAACAAAAGGATATTAACTCTGATTTTCAAATAAATAATTTCGTCCTTTCTTACTAATATGCCTAAGGAACATCTCTAAAGAACATCCCCCTTCACACTTAAAAGATCAGCCCAGATCTCCTGCCCAGTCTCTTATGCGCTGTAATTCATTAGGGGTCTAAGTGTGCAAACGGTGAAAGGAATCCGGGGACAGACGGCCTCGGAGGAGGCGACCTCTGGAAACTGTTGGCCTCCAGCAATGGATAATTCCAGGCCTGGACGGTCTTGGTGCTCGCCCCAAACTCACAGAAAAGTGCCCTTCGGAAAGAAACCACTTCCATTCAGGCTTTATCCTCTGGTCACTCCAGATTAAGTATTGTGATAGAAGACGAAAGCGGGGAGAAGAGGATTTTAAAAGGAAGGCGGAGTAAGCAAACAGAAGAGATAAGGTTTGTCCCCAAACCTGCGCCTCTGTTAAAACCCCCCAAAGTCATCAAACCGATACCAACCCTGAACGTTCGTTGGGAGAAACGGAGTTCAAAAGACTCATCTATTTCAAAATTATTACATCTGCAGGAATGTAAACGAATCCCTCCCGGCCGAGGCGGCCAGCTCCGGCTGCCCGAAGGCCGCTGCCCCGAGCCGGCGACGGCGAAGTCCGGGCCCCTTCTCCAAAGGAGTGCGCCTGGGAGTCAGCCCGCGTCCACGCGCAGCAGCCTTGCCCTGGCTGCGGCTTCGCATCAACTCTCCGGCTTCCGGGCACCCGCCAGCCTCCCACTCTTCGTTCCACTCTCCTAGCCCCTCGGCTTCAGCCTCAATGCCTCTCCAACTCTCCCGCGGGCGGTTCCCACGCGCGCCTCGACTGTCAGCCGCGCAGCCTCCTCCCAAAGCACAGGCTCCCTCCTCCCCGCCCTCCGCAGCAGCCGCCCCGGCGCTTGGCTCCGGACCAGGAAGACCGGCCTCCGGGGTCGCCTCGGGCCGCGCGGGACCTGCCACCCCCCGGGGTCAGCTCTCCGCCGTCCTTTGCGTGCGCGCCGCCAGCCCCTCCGCGGAGCGCCTTCCACGCCGCCGCCTCGCGTGCAAACGCGAAGGAGACGACGAGCGCGGGACAACCAGGGGACTGGAAGGGGTAAAAGACGACAGCACTCACTCTGGGAAGGCTCCGGCATGGTGCTGCCTTTGGGCTGCTTCTCGATCTCGCCCCTACCCCGGCTTCCCCGCCCCGCCAGGGCCGGGGCAAAGGGGGACGGGGGAGGAGCGGAGCCACGGGGGCCGCGTTGGAAATGGTGCTTCCGGAGCTGCAGGGAAGGGGGTCAAACACTGTTTTGGTTTCGCTAAGGAGATTTAGGGGAACCAGGAGGCTAGAGAAAGGCCCGTGAGCGCAAATATATGGAAATAATCTTGCTCCCAGGGAATACCAGGGCTGCCGGCGTGTAGGGGGGGTGGGGGTGGGGGCTCGGCACATACATTTTTGTATTTGAACTTTTGTGAGCAAGTTGGATCGGGTCCGACGCTTGGATTTTTCGGCTGTACTCGCCTTAAAAGTAGAGGTCTCTACACCTTAAGATCATGGCCCTACTTCAAAAGCACAGGGCCTGAGAGTGGAGGCTGTTTAATGCTCAAGGAAGGGAGTTCAATAGGGAAGAGAGAGAAGCCCCAGGTCACGCTCCATGCCCCGGCCGGGTCTTCGTGGCTCCTCTTCTTACCTGGTGCCTTTGCTAACAAAGTAAGAGAAGGTAAAGTCCCAGTGATCGTCCAGCCACGCTTCGACCGAGTCCTGGTCCCATTGCTGTTGCGGCCGCGCGCAGCCGGGGCCGGCCCTCTCCATGATCAGCCCGGCTCTCTGCTGTCGGCTGGTGCCGGTTTTCCACTCCAGCTGGGGTCCTTCCCTCGGAGGAGCTGAACTCGCCTCGAGACCCTCCCCCTTCGCCCTGCTTCAGTCGGCTTTCGGCGGAGCTGCTCATGCGCCGGGCCAGCCTCCTGCCGCGCCCCGCCTCTCCCGGTCCTCACCGCTTCCAGGTGCGGCGGGCGGGGCGGTGCTGCAGCCCCGCGCCTTCCCCGGGGTCTGTCTGAGACTGGCTCTGGAAGTCTCTCTAGGCTCCAGATTCCGAGGCGGCCAGGGCGGCGACTGGCGAGCTCTCCGGAAGCCTAGTGGCCAGGACTAGAAAGGAGGCCAGGCGGCCGCTGGGGTGCGCTGCGTGCCAAGCCGGCTCCGGAGGAGCGCGCAAAGGTGACTATGGATGTGTTTGCTGAGCGTCCCACTCTAGGCAAGGGAAGGTCACGCTGTGGAGACACAGCCCAAACCCAGAGAGCGGTAGCTGGGGAAATTTTCGCCCGAAAATGAGAGGTGCTAGTAGCCCGCGCTCTTTCCCCCGGGCCTGGGAGAACAATGAATGTCTTGCCTCGCTTTCCGCCAGATCAGCGCGTGGGTCTGGGAGGAGCTGGGACCCACGGCCCACGGAGCCCGGACAGCGCAACGGCTCAGGGCGCCCCAGCCAAGGACCACGTCTGGGGTGACGAGATCTGGGACGTGAGTCACCAAAATAGATTCGACAGTCGTGGTGGGTAACTTCTAACAGAGCCATTCCTGTGATTAACGTTAATAATAACCATAGTAAGTATAAATTAACTGCCTTCACAAGAAAGGCTTAATTTGCTTTTCCTAACTGGAAAAAGATAAAGGTAAATTGAAATACAATAATCACTATGGTTTGTGTATGAAATCGCAAATCTCCATACAAGTAGGTTAACTTGCTCGTAGGGGCAGTCCCCAGGTACCGTGCAGAGCAGCCAGTTAGCCCAGTTTTTAATTCGTCATTTATATTGAACTGGAGTTAAAATACACATGCCACGAAAAATGTATCCGTTTAAAAGGGCTCAGCATTCCTACCCTGTTTTGTCGTCTTCTTATCATGCTTTGATAGGGCTTCCCTTGTGGCTCAGCCGGTAAAGAAACTGCCTGTAACTGCGGGAGACCTGGGTTCGATCCCTGGGTTGGGACGATCCCCTAGAGAAGGGAGAGGCTACCCACTCCAGTATCCTGGCCTGGAGAATTCCTTGGACTGTATAGTCTGCTGCTGCTGCTGCTAAGTCGGTTCAGTCCTGTCTGACTCTGTGTGACCCCATAGACAGCAGCCCACCAGGCTCCCCCTTCCCTGGGATTCTCCAGGCAGGAACACTGGAGTGGGTTGCCATTTCCTTCTCCAGTGCATGAAAGTGAAAAGTGAAAGTGAAGTCGCTCAGTCCTGTCCGACTCTTAGCGACCCCATGGACTGCAGCCCACCAGGCTCCTCCATCCATGGGATTCTCCAGGCAAGAGTGCTGGAGTGGGATGCCATTGCCTTCTCTGTATAGTCTACCGGGCTGCGAAGAGTCGGACACGACTGAGCGACTTCACTTCACTTCTATCATGCTTCACAAAAAAGAATTGGGAGTCTTCCCTTGCTTTGTTCTCATCCCCATCTCCCTGCAGTTTTAATATAGTATTTTGCAATGACCTAATTTTTTTTGGCAGAATTAAACTGGAGCTGTGTGTTTCACAATGTGTGAATGACACCATTAGCAGTGATACACCAAAAGTGATGTGGCTGACACACTTTTAACAAACTCCTTTAAAATATTCTTGGCAAGAATATAAGACATTACTCACTACATAGAAACACATAATTAAACAGATACTATGAGAACTTTAATAAATGTCTTCCAGTCCCCCAGTGCAATGGTTTATACTTCCTTCATTAAATAATTGTCCTTTTGTAATTTCAGTTTCTTTGAAAGTTCACTGTTGTGTGCAAGTAGCCACAAACCAGTAAAAAGCAAGCAAAGGAGTATGAAATAATACATGGTAAGTTATATCAGATTTTAAAATGAGAATTATTTTATAATTTCTTACTATGATAGTGATTCTAGTGCCCATGACCTAAAGACCGTCTCCTTAGTGCTCAGCTTTTCTCTGTGGAAGGTCATGCATTTCTCCTCTCAGGAGGTCAATTATAATTTAAAATTCTACTTCCATCTAAGGATGGAGTGAATTTTTGGCTTAAAATGCTTGCTTTGGTTGGCTACCATGATTAAATGAACAGGCATTATCCAAATGTCCAAGGTTTTCTCTCCCAACCTGAAAGGGTTAAATTATCAGAAACCAGGAAGGCGTCTAAAAAATTATGCAAGGAAAACAGTCCCTGGACTCTCCCATCAGTGAGTCTCAAGTCTGTGTGGTATAGATGTTGGGTGGGGGTTACTGTGAAGGCCGTTACCTGAGTGAGTATGTCACAAGGGATGGGGATGAGGCATTTCACACTGTTCTAGTCTCTAGAAAACTCAGATAAAACAATACCTCTTGTAACTTTAAACTACTTAAAGTTAAGAATATTTTGAACTGGCCTTGCCCTGGCATCTGTTCTCCAGCTCCTTATATTCTTTATCCCAATTTCCCCATTTTTTTTTAACATACATTCTTTCTAACTTATTGGTATGGATTGCTCTAAGCATATCAAATCTTGTTTTAGAATAAGTTGAAGGATGAGTAAATAATAAACATTACCAGGAAATAACCTGGAAAATGACGTAAATGCTACTTAAAAAAACTTGCACTGACTTAACACAAAGCCCTCCGACCTGTTATATTCTCATTGTACTAGGAAAAAACCCGAAGTCTCTAACATGGCTTACAAGGTTTTGCATGACTTTTACTTATTTCTGTTGCTAAAGGTTTTGTTCATACAACTAGAAAAAAAACAAACAAAACCATGGGTGATCAAATTCCTTTTCCAAAAGAGAGCACAGATTATAAAAGTCATGACATCTTTCCTGCCTTTTTTTTTCTTTCAAATACTACATAGTGTCTTCTTTTTTCTTACAGCAAACCTCTGTCTTCTAAGCTTGAGAAAACTGAGTAAATATATTAGCACATATAATAGGATCTAGGTCCCTCATTGTTGAAGGGGAAGCCTAGAAGGTACATTGTAATGTTGAAATGCAATTGGAGATTACAAATTAAATGTGTGTGTGTGTGTGCGTGCGTGCATGATGTGGGGAAATCCCACATGACAAGGAAATGCAGGCAGCTTTTAAGAGCTGTGGGCAGCCTCCAGCTGATAGCCTACAAGGAGCTCCAGCCACCAAGAAAATTAATCCTTCGGTGTTATAACTGCAAGACTAAGACTAAAGTGAGCTCAAAAGCAGGTATTTCCCCAGTCACGCCTCAAATGAGACCACAACCACAATTCCAGCCAATAAACTGATTGCACCCTTATGAGATGCTAAGCAGTGGACATCTTCATAATCAACATCTTAATAACACTGAGTCCTATATCTATTAATGTACGTATTTATCCATTTACTTCAATCTTTCAAAATTTCTCTCAGCAGTGTCTTGAAGTTTTTAGTGTACATGCCTTACATGTATTTTGTTAAACTCATTTCAGTATATAGCCCACTGTCACTGAGAAATACTGGAAGCAAAGATATTCATGTGGCAGAGTCCCAGATTTTGGTTTAAACATATCTTTCTTCACTTTAAAAGAAACCAAGAGTCTCTGTAGAAGATTCCAGGTCTGTGACAGGGAAAGTGCAAAATATACCTGGAAAATCTTGTTTTGACAGAATATAAGAAAGACTTAAAAATAATGCCAGCATATCAGAACAGAGGACTTCCAAAGTATAATACAAATCTGAACCAATTAGAACATCAAAATACATGTTGATATATATTGACATATATAGGAAGTAACAAATTTTAAACCATTGACTAAAATAAACTGTGATTCCATACTGATATAAATAAGTAACTAGATAAGCAAATAAACAGAAGAGAAAGGAATGTTCCAGAATGTCAATGAAATGAATATAAAAGGAATCATATAATTACAAAATCATTGAAAAGAGGTTGTTAGTCACTCAGTCATCTCCGACTCTGCGACTCCATAGACTGTAGCCCACCAGGCTCCTCTGTCCATGGGATTCTCCAGGCAAGAATACTGGAGTGGGTAGCCATTCCCTTCTCCAGGGGATCTTCTTGACCCAGGGGTTGAACCTGGGTTTTCTGTACAGCAGACGGATTCTTTTACTATCTGAGCCACTAGGGAAGCCCAGAAAAATCACTAATGGTCATTAGAAGTAACTGATGGGAGTGTGATGATGGGTGGGATATTTACATAGCTTAAAGTATCACCTGGCAGGTTTCTTATTAGTTACCATGGGCAAATAGTTTCTTTACAACAAAGAGACTCTAACTAAGTGATTCAGTATCACTTACATTGGGACAAACCAACAGTATGCACATTTTAGAACATACTGGGAAGGATACAACATTACATTTATGTCATTACTGTCAAAATTGTGAATCTAATCATGAGGATGAGATTGACTGCTTTCCATACAAACATACCTAGATTGAGGGACATTCTTCAAAATAACTGGCCTGCATGCTTCAAAAATTTCAAGGTCAAGAAAGGTAAAGACTGAGGAGCTGTTTGTTAGTTATTCATTGCTATGGAGCGATACTACCACAATATTAGTGACTTAAAGCAACACACACACATTATCTCTGTTTCTGTGAATTGGGAGTCTAGGTTGGTTGAGCTGGGCAGTCTGCTCAGGGGTGTCTCACAAGGCAGTCAGGGTGCTGGCCAGAGCTACAGTCTCATCTGAGGCTCAACTGGAGAAGGAGCCTCTTCTAAGATCACTCAGACTGTTGGGAGAATTAACTTTCTTGTGATTGCAGAACTGAGAAATTCTTTCTCTTGCTGGATGCTAGCTGAAACTTGTACAGGTCACTGGCTGGAGCCCCTCTCTGGTTCTCAAAGCCACTTCCAGTGCCTTGCCACAGGGAGCTTTCCAACGTGGTCAGTTGTTTCCTCAGAAGCAGCAAGGGAGAGAACTTCCAGCAAGAAGGGCAGTGCATGTTCTTAATAATGTCATCAAAGCTGTCACAGACACATAATCACATGCATACCTTTGCCATATTGTTTGTTCTAAAGTGTGGGCAAAAAAACATGCTGCCTGCCCTTTCAGTAAACAGCGAATGTTGCCTGCCATCAAGCCTGCAGCTGTCCCAACCGTGTGCCCAGAGGGGAATCTGCTGCTGCTGCTAAGTCGCTTCAGTCGTGTCCGACTCTGTGTGACCCCATAGACGGCAGCCCACCAGGCTCCTCTTTCCCAGCATCAGAGTCTTTTCCAAGGAGTCAGCTGTTTGCATCAGGTTGCCAAAGTATTGGAGCTTCAGCTTCAGGATCAGTCCTTCCATTGAAAATTCAGGACTGATTTCCTTTAGGATTGATTTCCTTGGTTTGATTGGTTTGATTTCCTTGCAGTCCATAGGACTCTCAAAAGTCTTCTCTAGCACCACAATTCAAAAGCATCAATTCTTTGGCACTCAGCCTTCTTTATGGTTCAACTCTCACATCTGTGCATGACTACTGGAAAAACCAGTTTTGACTATATGGACCTTTGTCAGTCTCTGCTTTGTAGAATGTTGTCTAGGTTTGTCATAGCTCTCCTTCCAAGGAGCAAGTGTCTTTTAATTTCATGGCTGCAGTCACTGTCCACATTGATTTTGGAGCCCAAGAAAATAGAACCTGACATTACTTCCACTTTTCCCCCTTTTGTTTCCCCCTTTTATGAAGTGATGGAACTGGACGCCATGGTCAAAAAACTAAGGTAAGGTTTTTTGAATGTTGAATTTTAAGGCAGCTTTTCCACTCTCCTCTTTCACCATCGTCAAGAGGGTCTTTAGTTCCTCTTTACTTTCTGCCATAAGGGTGGTATCATCTGCATATCTGAGGTTGTTGATACTTCTCCCAGCAATCTTGATTCCAGCTGTGATTTATCAAGCCTGGAAGCTGTATGATGCTTAGTGACAATATACAGTCATGTTGTACTCTTTTCCTAGTTTTGAACCAGTTCATGTCTGGTTCCAACTGTTGGTTCTTGACCTGCATACAAGTTTCTCAGGAGGCAGGTAAGGTGGTCTGGTATTCCCATCTCCTTAGGAATTTTCCACAGTTTTCTGTGATCCACACAGTCAAAGGCTTTGGTGTAGTCAATGAAGCAGAAGTAGATGTTTTCCTGGAATTCCTTTGCTTTCTCCATGATCCGATGAATGTTGACAATTTTATCTCTGGTTCCTCTGCCTTTTCTAAATCCAGCTTGTACATCTTGAAGTTCTCGATTCATGTACTGCTGAAGCCTAGCTTGAAGGATTTTGAGTATAGCCTTGCTAGCATGTGAGATGAGTGTAATTATACAGGAGTTTGAACATTCTTTGGCATTGCCCTTCCTTTGGAGTGGAAAAGCTTTCCATTGGGATTGGGATGAAAACTGATTTTTTTCCAGCCCTGTGGCCACTGCTGAGTCTTCCAAATTTGTTGAGATATTGAGTGAAGCACTTTAACAGCATCATCTTTTAGAATTTTAAATAGCTTTAAATTTTCACTCAACTTTGATACTGCCTCTGGCAGTACTTTTGCTTATTGGATATATGTAAATATGTCAGCAACCGATCTTGGGGGAAGGTTTATTTCTTTTAGTGGTCTGTGGAAGTCTTATCACACTTCACAAGATCATCCTTTATTTTTAGCAGCACTAGGCTCGTGTGATATAGCAGTTTTCTGCAGAGAGTGTTGGAGTACATGTTTCAGGGTGTCACACAGTAGGGATCAGCTTGTTACTTTAACTGCATAAATTTAAATCAAGCCATAATTATTAATTTCAAAGACAGAGCCAACCTATGAATAATAAGACTGTGTTATGGTGCAGTGCAATGATTTCAATCAGTACACAGCATTTTCCCTCCAAATCAAACATAGGGTTTTTTTTACCCAAGTCTCTTGAAGAGGCCAAGAATTCTATTTGATATATAAAGGCTGATCCATGTGAAGAGACATTACACAGTGGATGGCGAGCAGCTGTTCTTCACATCCAGGAAGGTCACAACGAGAGGAAATGGACTTATATTCAAACAGGAGAGATTTTGGACAGATACTAGACACACTTGCCTGACAAAGGGATGCAGCACAGATGGATTCAGGATGAAAAACAACTGTGGAATTTCCCCCTAGCAACTTTTACAAATGAGGTGGACAACCATCTGTTGCTAATGCTTTGAAGTCCTGTCTTAGGGCAGATCAACCTCAGGAACTCCTGAGGTTTCTCACTGCCCTTTCACCTGCATCTGGAGAAGATATTAAACAGAGAAATGATGTTGTTTTAATTGATCAGTATAATATGCACCATGCACATAAACATGAAATAACCTAAAACACTTATATCCAGAACAAACCTATGCTCTTTTCATCCACTTTCCTATTAGAGAAAAGATTTCATTCTCTAGAGAAAATATCGTGCACTAGTCAGAATGGCTAAAAATAAAATAATTAGTTTAGAAAGAAATAGCAAGGAGTGAAACACTTTTAAAAGTCAACTGCATCTGAGTGTGACATACTTAACTAAAAACCAGTTTAAAAGTAGGTCATTTAAAAATAGACTCTTTAAAGGTTAAAGGAACAAAAATGTATATGTTTAAACATAAATCAAGAGATACAGTTTTGTTGATCTTGATTCCAGCCTAGAGAATCATTTGTCTTTCCTTTGTAAGTTACAGACTAAAATTTTTTTAAGTGATGCTCAGTCTCATTTAAAACATCTCAGATGACTGCATGGACATCATTATGAAGCCTGCCTCTTCCCAAATAAAGTGTGGTTTAATTATAATGCCACAGGGGAAAAAAAAAGAACCTCATGATCAGAGATAATTTTCATCTTTTAGAAGTAGCCTTTGGATAACTTTTTTGACTCAACTCT